CTAAGCGGAACCAGAGTGATACTGTGATTTAATTCTTTTAATGCATTTAATTTTTCTTTATAATTCCGATCTCAGGTAACCTTTGTTCCCCAGAGTAGTGTTTAAGTTAGGTTAGGAATTGTGCATCTGTTGGGGTGATATAATTTTGTTGAAAGCCCTTAAGGCCTGTTTCATGTGTGCAAGCAACATTTCTTAATACTTTAAATTTATTGTTGCCTGAGTTTCTAATAATTTCAATATCATGTATAACTTTTATTTCCCAGAGTAGTGTTTTAAGTTCAAGTTAAGAGGTGCGCATATTGGTGTACCATTATTTGATTGTGTTTGTAGTGTTGGAGGGAATATAAGTGTCTAAATTTTACAGTGTGTCTCATTCATCCCAGTCACAGACGCTATCCTTCCACGGGTCAAACGGATCAATTACCATCTATTAATTTTGTTTAGTTAGATATATATATATATATATATATATATATATATATATATATATATATATATATATATATATATATATATATATATATATATATATATATATATATATATATATATATATATATATATATATATATATATATATATATATATATATATATATATATAATATTTTGCTGTCGGTTTTGCAGGTAAGCTCTAAATTCCTCATGGTGATCAGGGATGCTCTCTGCAAGATTTTTGCCAGCATTAATAAAATATCCATTGAAGTGGTTGGCAATGAGGGAGGGTTCCGTTACAACTGAATTATTTATCATAAAAGCTGAGTGGGGGGCCGAAGGCTGCGTGTTCTTGTTCTGAATAGAATTTATGATATTCCAGGTTTTCTTACAGTCGCCTGACGCTCACTGGAGCTTAATTGTATAATAGCTACGTCTGGCATTTCTAACTGCTTGAGTTACTCTATTTGTGATACTTCGGGAAGCATAACCAAAAGTTATGGGTCTTTTTTGCAAATTTCCTTTGGAGTTTGCGTTTTTCTTTTATCATTATCTTAATTTCTCTTGTGATACAGGGTTTGGAAATGGATACAGTTTTCACTGACTTAGTCTAGAAGGGGGAAGCATTTATCAAAGCAGGCATTGAAGATGCAAGAGAAGTTGCAGCTGTTCACGTTTGGGTTGTTGGAGGCAAAGACAAGATCCCAATTAGCATTCATTAAGTTGTTTTCAAAAAGGAGCATGTTGTAGGCGCAGTAGTCTCCGTATTGTATTGAGATTCTACTCTACATTTCAGGTTTTGAGGCTGCTTTATACATGGCAAAAACTGGGAAGCGATCTGAGATATTGTTAAAAATAATTCCACTTACTAGAATGTTAGGATTGATGTTAGTCCAGATATGTACAATCACAGTGGCAAAGGTGGCAGTTACTCTAGTGGGTTTGGTTATAGTGTTGAAGAAGAGCTTAGAATGATAGGTAGCAAGAAGGTCTAATACTGAGGTGTCGGTTTCTGATTTTAATAGATCGAGGTTGAAATCTCCTGTAATGTAGCAGAGTTTCCTCTCTGAACTTATAATAGAGATAAGCTCAGAACATTTTCAAGAAATTTCCTTTCATTAGTGTGGGGTCTTCTGTAGATTACTCCTACTCAAATATTTCATGTGTCGTTACGTAATTCATTAAAAACACTCTCCGTGAACTCCTCCTGAACCTTCAAATCATCTCTTACAGAAGTGTTATACTTGATATCAACATATAGTGCAACACCACGTGATGTGTTGACGCAGTGTCTATTATAATTAGGAATGTTATACACATATTCAATATCGTTAGTGAGTTTGGTCTCACAGAATCCAAGTACATCAAATTTGTGGGCAATAGAAGATATACACTGATCTAAAAAGGTATCTAGATGAAGGGGAATACTGGTGATGTTATGGTTCATTAAGGAAAAGGTATGAGGTAGAAGAAGACTAGAACTAAACTCGAGAGAGTCAGGAAAGTAATAGGTACAAGTGAGGTTGCTGTAACCCAGCGAGTTTTGTAGAATGGCATCAGGATCAATATGAGGGAGTATTGTGTCGACATCATGGGTGAAGGGGGTGTAACACATACGATCGAGTACCTCTTAGGGAACGACACTAACATCATCATTGTGGGAACATTGATACTGATTAAGGAACAGCAAAAACTGAGGGTCACTGAGGTGTGAAAAGGGAAGACCAAAGAAAGTTATAGTAGTGGAGGGTAACGTACTCACAAGTGCTACAACCAACAGAATTAAGATGACTGGTAACTGGGTACTGTTGAGGATTGCTGGTTTTCAACACAGAGGGTGGACGCCTAGTACCTGAGTTGGCCGGCAGGGGGTGGGGGGGGGGATAGTGGCTGGTTCTCCCCTCAGTGGGGAGGGGGTTCTCGAGGGGCTTAGAAGGGCTGGTACAGTGGGTGGGTGAGTGGGCGGGTGTCCACTTGCCCTATCCCTCATAACAAGGGTTTTATGACTGAACGTCACGTGTTTCTCTTGTTCCCTGGCTTTTTTAAACTGGTTCATTAGCTGTTGGCGGGCTTTAGTCGTACCTGGGCAGAGGCCCTCGTTGACGAAGATAGTAGTGCCTTTCAGCTTACTGCGTTGATAAAACACTTTGTCATGGTCAGAGAGGGATGAGAATTTTGTTATGATGTCGCCGGGGCGGGAGGAGTTGGGTTTCCTGATGCGTTGAACGCAGTCAAACTTTACTTCAAGAAGTTTAAAATGTTCATTCAGCAGGCGTGAAATTTTGCATTGAGATGACTCCCAGTTC